TGCACTGGGCTGCAAGGACATTATGCACTGGACATCAAGGACATTATGTCCTAGGGCAGAATGCAGCGAGGTCTTTATGAGCTGTACCTGCAAAAACAAAACACCGTGGAAGGACAGCGGAGTCGCCGGAGCTGTCCTTAAGGTAGTAGTGCCCGCCTACCGTACCGGAAAAACGTGGGCACTCTCCTCCCAGGATAAAACCGCTATCGTGTGTGGAGATTGTACGGATCAACCACACACCAACAAACAAGAACAACGTAGGAACGTTGGCGACCAAAAAAACTTTAAAGGGGATGGCCGGAAATTTGGCCGGAAAACCAAGAGCTCTCTCAAAAAATAAACAAGAAAGATTTTCTTTCTTTTTCTTTTTGTTTCTCACGTGAAGCACATAAGGAAAATGGAGAGGAGCCCTTTGATTTTATAACTAAGGTGTTTAAAATGTGTAACTCCTACACCATTAACCCTTAGAATTAATCATGGCATTTGTGGCACACTTAATACCGTGTTAATGGTGATTAATTTGCCATTAACACGTCCGTTACGCTACGCTCCATTTAAAATTTGTCCCGAATAATTGGAGATTAATGGCCAGTTAACTCCGTAAGAAAGGACTAATTTTAAACAATACGTAAAATTAATAAAAGAAGGTTGGTTCAGTAAAATTGCAAAAATTGCAATCCTCACCATATTCTTTAATTAACGGGTTAACTCTGAGAATCAATTTCTCATTCACCCTTTACCATTTTTGGCATAATATTTGTCAAAACATTTATCTCATTTAAGAGAACACACGTCCATTAATTAACGGTTAAAACCGTTAGTGGACCTATTAACAAATATACCCAAATTGGTCCATTTAATGCCTATTAAAAATGCCAAAAATTCCAACACCCATCTAATAAGGGGTACTACAATCACCCCCACTTAGAAATGCAACGTCATCGTTGTCTCCTTTTTTTAAACCCTTAGATCTTCCCCGCTAGGTGAACTAAGCTCTTTTTGGCCCGTCACGGTCATATGACTCTTGCTAGAAGAGAATTTGTAGAAGCCATCAGTTGGGAACTGATTCATTGGAACAATGGCAGGATTACTTAGAATAATGGTTCAATCTCTTTTAAGGAAGCATATAATGCAACTTTGGAGTATGGACGCACTATGCCTTAAAATTAAATGGACCAGTATTGAGGGATGGAACTACTATAAATCAACATCTTATTGAGTGGGGAAGACTTAAAAGTGGCGGAATGCACAATTCAGGCATAATTTTGGGCGAACAATAATAAGCTTAGGAGGAAATATCTAGTAGCCGAGATTGAAGAACTTGGTTTAAAACTTGTAGTTAGAGGAGTGTGATTGTATCCTTATTTTGGCTTATTTATTCTATTTTGTACCATTTCATTTCATGATTAATAAAAATAATAAAAAATAATAAAAAAGATCTACATAAAAAGTTCTTCAAAACTACAAATTAAAAAAAACTAGAATGAATTCCCAAGACGGTCCTTTTTAATAAGGTGTTTTTCTAAATTATTTCTCAATAAGAAATAATAGAAATCATTACCAACATGGTCCTTTGTAATTGATATACAAATAAAAGTTATTTTGGTATTTTCTATATAGACTTAAAGAAATCACTCTAAATAGGAGCAAAACATATAGAATGTACCAAAATTGAAGTTCCATGTTTTTATTCCATAAATAAGAGTTTGCATTGTAGTAATGTGGCACTGTACCTGAGCATTCTACTATACTTTTTGGTAATGTACATTGTCATGATTTGTATGTAAATGTATTTTAACTCCTATTTTGAGAAAAAAATATGGAACTCCAGTTTTGGTATATTTTCAATGTTTGACTCCAACTTTAGCCTTTTTTCTAGACTTAAAGTATGTTCTCAAAATGCCTCTTTATAATTAAATATTTTTTCAAATTAATAATTTCTAAGTAAATATTTTCCCAAAATGGAGTCCATAAGTCTATTTGGGGTAGGTTCATTCCTCTAGCAACCACCCATTTAATTTTAAAGGACCATTCTGAAGACTTTAATCATAGTTTAGATGATGCAAATGTTATATATTTTATTGTAAATGGAAAAACTATGACTAATGGTATCCTAATAATCATCAAAGAAGTTTGGTGGTGCGGAGTGCACGCTTCGTTGAGTTTGTTAGGATAAAAGTCCCGTTTTAACAGGGGTTCCAAGGGGTCAGCGCCCCCTTGGCTGGGGTTCGGGAGTTGCGCCCCCGAGCAGGGTTCAAGGGGCGGCAGCCCCTGTGGGGTCCAAGGGGCAGAGCCAATGGCCCGAAAATTTTTTATTTTGGACAAAGTGCTTTGTTAAAAATTCAAATGAATTTTTAAATTTCGAATTTTCTTTAAAAAGTAAAATCGTTAAAAGATACCATCAATTTGTTAAAAATTTTGCGTGAAGGGTCGCACATCTTAGTTAAAAGACATGATCGCGTGTTTTCTTCTCCACTGCAATTCTATATATTCCTAGAAA